CGAGCAGTTCTGTCAATTAGCTATTGTTGGGAAGGAAGAAGAGGAAAATGGAGGAGGTAGGAATGAGGAGAGGAATGGAGAGGAAGATGGAGACTCAGGAGATGAGGGAGGGAAAGGAAAGGGACAGACAACAGGAGGAGAGGGACAAGGAGCAGGAGGACAAGAAGGAGGAGCAGGTGGAGTAGCTGGAGGGAATGAAGAAGAGAAAGATGATGAGAATGATGCAATTGCTTTAGAATCATGTGATCAACCAAATACTTTATCAACACTTAGTAAGTAGCTTTACTTTATTGTTTTATACTTTTCAATAATTCATCATATAGTTGTATCTACTCATTCCACTGGTATACCTGAAGCTACAGTGTATGCTGGACAAGTGTTTTATCAAAAAGCAGAGGGCAAAAATTTAATGATATTTACAGCTGCTAAAGATTTGAATCCTTTACGCCAGGTAATGTAGATTATTTTGCTTTATTGATATTGTATCTTTGTATTTAGTACATTAAAAAAGAACATTCTCATCCAGAGTTTGATCAAAGCATTAAGTTCAAACTCACATCTTCACCAAAAGGATGTATTGAATTAATATTTAATGATGAGCAACAAACAGAACCAACAACTGGATGGAGAATAAAACCACATTTGATGCCTTGTCAAGTAATTTATTTCATCTAACAAGACAATTAGTTTAATTGTATTTTATAGATTGAAGAGCATGAAGTACTTGGTTTTGGTGACATTAGTACTACAATTCCTCCATCTTGCCTGGTATCAATATATGCTGAGAACAGTCCTCATACTGTACCTAACTTGAGCTATTCTGTACCATTGAAAGGTGTACAGAAACCAATGGATATTATCATAAACCGATCACTGAGAGATTTATTAGGTATTTTTATGGTTTGTTTTAATCAATAATAGTTAATGATGTATACATATAGATGCACCTCATTCTATTAGTACTAATGATGTTCCTAATCCTGGTTCACAAAATGATGTCAAGAAGCACCTTAATGATCTGAAACGTTTCCTTTCAACTTCAGAAGCAATGTTTCGTGACATAGCTAATGGTTGTAAGGAAGTACGAATTATTAATGGTTCTCAGTATAATGAGTTATTTGACGGGATGAGTCGCCAGTCTTTATCAGAAAGAGTAGAAGTTTTTATTAGAAAAATTGTGTTTTTGCTTGAACTTTGTCCTGATCAAATTAGTAAATTCCTGTCAATACTGAATAATCAGGAAGACATTGCTCTTTCTACATTAGCTGACAGGATTGCTGCTTCATGTAAGTTATCAATCAATTTATGT